GTATCAGGAAAAAGCAAGAGCCCAGTTCATTTTTAAAAAACAGTTTAAAAGAACTCATCACATGCCCCACTCTGCCATGAAAATGTTTCTAGTTATCAATAGTCTGTATTTTATTGTTCATATTACTTTTCAGTAAGTTTTTCTCCTCTTTTGCCTGTGTTTTTCCCTTCAGGAATTTTGCGTCTAAAAGTACACTGAACCAACTGATCACAAGTTACTGCTAAATACAAAAAACCCTACTATAGCTTAAAGAAAGTCTTTCTAATGTTTTGCTTTGTATCAGTCTTGTGTTTCGTTGCTGCATCAGGGGATACACCTGATTCAGAGGACACTGTTAGTTTTGCATCATACTACAGTTTTAATGTAAACTTCATTCATTTGATTTTCAAGGATGTTATTCATTGGCAGGTTAATGGCTGCTAAAGACACTAATTGAATTTGCCGTAAGCATCAGAACAAAGGCACAACAGGCTTTATCGCAACAGATGCTTTATGCTCCTCTACGACGTGGGCTATAGAGTAGCAGCTTGCTCCTAGTGGCATACCTATAGTGAGCAAGACTCCTTTAGAAGAATTCAACTTCCCTTAAGAATAATGTTAAAATACCACATAGTATCTTGAGGGTGTTGACAAGTGCAGCACTGGAAAGACAGCTTCAGTAAGTAAGAAAACAAGCTCCAGAATCTAGGAAGCCAGCTGACAAGTTTATTGTGTCCTAACTCTCCACTGGAAAGTTAAGGATACTATTTCCTCTAAAGGCCAAATACAAAGAGAAACAATATTTCTGAGAGTTACAGTGCAACTCATGTTGCGCATTATGACAACATCTCTGGTGGGACTGCCAGTTACTAAACTGGCAGGTAATTTTGAATCTAGCATTCATAAAGCACCAAGAATTTAATTTTGCACTTAAAGCACCTTTGTGCACCTTTGTGCACACACTCCAATAAAGAATTTCAAGCATGTGAAACAGGAAAGGTTTCGCCTGCGCCTCTTAGTTGCAGGCTTTGAGGTATCACCATGCAAGTGCCCTTTGGAACAAGTCTGATTTGGAGACCTAAGACTTCCACAACATTTAACATGGTAAGAGAACTCTGAAGGTGATAGGAACTAGATACTCCTTGCAGTGTGATGGCAGTAGAGAATATCACATTCTGCTTGCAGCTGGTGCAGTTTAGAAACACACATTTTGAAACCTGGGAACAATACGTTTGTTTATAGCTCTCAGATATTGCAACAGGAACAGACAACAGATTAAAAAAGGAGCAAGTAAAAAAACTGTAGTTTCACACTGCTATTGGAGATACCTACTGGAGATCAGTTTTTTTACAAGGACTTGGAAGTTTTTAATCGTAGTCTGGATTGGAGGTCCTTCTTTTGACTCTTGCAAGACCTAAGTTGCGTCTAAAATATACATTGTATATTGCTTGGTTTGTTTTGTTGAGCATAAGGTATATATGATACACACATTCATTTTACTAGGGAGTTTTTTTGGTATGTGATCTATCACACACCTAAATGCTCTTCCATTGCATTAGTGAAAAAAATGTACTGTGAATTGTCACCTCCAAAAGGGTTTGACTGATCAAGTGTTGTAAAGGGACTGTACAAAAAAAATGTACTAGGAACTTTATTCGTTAGCCTCCATGAATATGCAGGTCCCCATGATTATCTGTCTATCTACACACACACACGCCCACACACACCCCTCCCCCGCAGTTGGTAGCCCTTAAGCTCCTGTGAACAGGGGTTGGAGGCAGAAACCTGGGTTTGAAAAGAGATGGCAGGAAAAAATTAAATATTGCTTTAAAAGGTATGAAAATAAAAGCTATGTTGTATTTAACTGTAAAGAAAAATTATTTAGAAGTGGAAATGCTGTCACAAAAAGCTAGCAAAGCTCACCCAGAGAATTTACACTTCTTTCCTTTTCATTTATACACAAATACTGCCCCCCCCTTAACTTTGGATGTAGGAAATCAGTTTATTATAACCCTCAGAAATAGTTATTCTGGATATCAAACCCAATGACTATTCTTTAGCCCATTTTATTGCAATGCTCAATGAACAATGGCAAATGTTTATGTAAACTGTAGCTAAGCATTGCAGTGGTTTACTTAGAAATGCATGCAATGGGCAATCTTCAGGTATATGCAAAAAAAATATTACACTGAAGGGACTACCAAAGCATAAATAAATCAATGATATCCAGTAAAAATTTATCCTTGAATTTTCATGTGTATCATATGAAATTTAAAACTGCAGTACAAACTGTAAGAATTAAAACTGCAACATAATCTAAGAATTTTAGCCAGCAGCTATTAAACTTGAGACCTGTTTGTTTTACTATACCTGGCAGACAAGCCTGACAAAGCCCTTTTGAGGATTTCTGGAGTGCTGTCTGTTGGTGGAAGAACATCTGAATCACTTCTAAGATCCAACTCTCCAAGTCTTTCTTCCAAATCCACTTCCTATGACAAAATAAAATAAATAAAAAAACCAACCCCAACACAACATGCAAGACTATTAGTTATTATGTCAGAAAACAGTATTCAGAGTCATAAACATTACTTTAGGAACTGATATCTACATTACTTTCTAAAAAGACAACAATGGTGTACTAGTGAAACTGTAGATGTTGTAGGAGACAAATGTATCCCAATAAATGTTTATAAGAAGGCCAGTACTCAGATGTTGTGACAGTACCTGCTGTGCTCAAGAAACTTCACATTCTAGGCACTTTTTTAACCCACGTACATAAGCATGAGGATATATGTTTCCAGAAATACTACAGCTGTCATAGAACACAAGTTTAACAGAAAGCCCTAACCTTCACCTACATCTCAAACTAACCTCTTATGGGATAAGGAGAAGGGTCTTCTGGTGGTTTAATGTCACATTAAGAAAAAAAGGAAATGGAATGCATGAAAAAACAGTCCCTTTGTACAAGGAAAAGAGGTTGCTGGCACAGTTTCATACATACATACGCTAGGACTTGAACCCTCCGGCTTGAAAAGAACAATCCAAAAACAAACTGTGAAGTGACCAAGTGTCCTATGGACACAGTATTACTCAGAATAATTTCTTGTATGACTCCAACACTTCAGTATTCACTAACGACCACTCAGGAAGACATCACCTAGACAGACTGTGTGTCTAACCCAAATGCAAAACAGGCAGTACATACTTTGGCGACAATGTACAAATTGTCACCAACGGTCAGAGTAGGCTGTCAAGATTATTTTTCCCTCAGTTAAAACCAACACTAAGGGTGCTGATGATTTACTTCATTCATTCTAATGTTACAAACACCACAGCTCCAGGGAGTCAGAAAGCTGCACTCGGCCCTGGCGCAGCAGTAAGGCAGAGAGCTGTCTCTAGCTCAGTGTCTGGCTCTCTTGAGACTTGAACTTCCTCCTGACCTCCCTGACTTGCCTCACCTCCTTACAATCCCAAACAGCTTCCAGCCTGCCCTGCTGCCTCAGGTTCATCAGTTCTTAACAGCTCTGGGGACTGCAAAGTAACTGTGCTTGAAAACTTTTTTCATCACCGCTATACTGCTATTTCTCAGTCTCCCTCTCTTTCCAGCCTCCTCATCGCAGATCTCGGTTCTTTCTCCTTAATCTATGTCCATGAACATGACTGCTTTTCTTTCCTACTTTTCCTTAATAATATTACTTTCTTCCCTTGTTCTGAGTATTTTTGGCATTTTGGAAGACAGCAGACGTATATCCTCCCTCTCGCCCCCTCCATAAGACACCACAGAATTAAGGCGGCCTACAATCCCAGCCATCGCGTGGCTACTCTGTTTATAGGCTATCGCCTTTTCTTCTCAATCCGTTGGCCTTTTCCAGGAAGTTACACTTCAGTGTAACCATTCCCTCAGTGACTGACCTTTGTAAACAACACGGCTGGAAAAGATAAGGCTTTTCAAACACCGCCGTCCAAAGTCGCGGACTAATTAGTCAAGGACTAAACACCCAGAAGCTGCGCAGAAGCGGCTGCGGGGAGGGGCGGGGGTCCGGCCCCGTCCCG